CAGCTTGTGACCCCAATGGAAATATTCCTTGACTGGGTAAGAAGACCTCACCCCTGTCCTATCCGTCCCCTTGGTCTTAGCTATTATGTAATTCTTTTTAAGTTTGTTTCATATTTATCTTTTTATCATTTTAAGCTGCCCAGAGTGACCTTATGGGTGAGATGGGCGGCATATATATTTACTAAATAAATAGTAAATGTAATAAATAGTAAATCCATCTCTCTCTCTCTCTCAAAAATTATAAATTATAATTATAAAACACTTGCTAGCATACGAATCATCAGTTTTCTAGAGGGCAAACTGGTGAAATTGTTCCTGTCACACCTGCTAAGACGTTTGCAAACGACTCCTGCCTTAATATATGTATATAATGCATTTAGAAAGTATTCAGACACCTTTCATTTTGTCAATTTTGTTATGCTGCAGCCTGATTCTACAATTGTTTAAATTCATTTTTTTCCTCATTAATCTACGCTCAGTACCCCATAATGACGAAGCAAAAAAACAGAATTTTAGAAATGCCTGTAGATTAAAAAAAAAAAAAAAGCCCGAAATCGAAATATCACATTGGTGTAAGTATTCAGACCATTCTCCCAGTACTTTGTTGAAGCACCTTGGGCAGCAATTACAGCTTCGAGTCTTTTTGATGCGACAAGCTTTGCAACCCTGGATTGGGGGGAGTGGGGGGTTGGTTCTGCCATTCTTCCTTGCAATTCCTCTCAAGCTCAGTCAGGTTGCATGGCGACCTTCAGTGGGCAGCCATTTTCAAGTCCCTCCAGAGATGTTCAATAGAGTTCAAGTCACGGCTCTGGCTTGGCCACTCTAGGACATTCACAGAGTTGTCCCTAAGTTACTCCTGTGTTGTGTTGGCTGTGTGTTTAGGATTGTTGTCATATTGGAAAGTGAACCTTTGGCCCAATCTGAGGTCCTGAGGGCTGTGGAGCAGGTTTTCATGGAGGATATCCCCCGTACTTCGCTCCGTTCAGCTTTCCCTCAACCCTGACCGGTCTCCCAGTCCCTGCTGCTGAAAAACACCTCCACACCATGATGCCGCCACCACCATGTTTCATTGTTGGAATGGTAGTGGGCAGGGGATGAGCGGTGCCTGGTTTCCTCCAGATATAACGTTAAGAATTGAGGCCAAAACAGTTCAATTCTTGGTTTCATCTTGTTCCTCACAGTCTGAGAGTCCTTCAGGTGGCTTTTTTTTGAAAACTCCAAGCTGGTTTTGCACTGAGGAGAGGCTTCTACCTAACTACTCTGACAGAAAGTCCAGATCGGCGGAGGGCTGCAGTGATGGTTGTCCTGGAACTCTACCCCATCTCCACACAGGATCTCTAGAGCTGAGTCAGAGTGAACATCAGGTTCTTGGTCACCTCTCTCACTAAGGACCTTCTCCCCTGATTGCTCAATTTGACTGGGTGACCAACTCTTGGAAGAGACCTGGTTGCGCCAAACTTCTTCCATTTGAGAATTATGGAGGCCACTGGATTCTTAGGCACCTTCAGTATGGTAGAAATTTTACTGTAGCCTTGCCCAGATCTATGCCTTTCTTTAATCCTGTCTCCGAGCTCTGCAAGCAGTTCTTTTGACCTCATGGCTTTCGCTCTGCTTACAGTATGCATTTTCAGCTGTGAGGCCTTCTGTAGCAGGGATTTCCAACCATGGCAACTTTAAGCCTGGTGGCCTTCAACTCCCAGAATTCTGGGAGTTGGAAGTCTGCCAGGTGTAAAGTTGCCAAGGTTGGAGACCCCTGTTCTATAGAGAGGTATGTGCCTTTCCAAATCATGTCCAATCAATTTAATTTACCTCAAGTGGACCCCAATCAAGGTGAAGAAACATCTCAACAACAATCACGACAAATGGGAGCCACCAGAGCTAAAATGGGAGGCACCAGAGCTAAATTTTTGGTGTTGTTGCCAAGGGACTGAATACTTATGCCAATGTGGTATTTCAGGTTTTTTTTTTCCTTTTTAATAAATTTACAGACATTTCTAAAATTCTGTTTTCACTTTTGTCATTATTGGGTATTCTGTAGATAGATTAATGAGAGAGAAAAAAGAATTTCAACATCTGTAAAATCAGGCTGCAGAAAAAAAGACAAAAGTGAAGGGGATCTGAATACTTTCTGAATGCATTGTAGGTATTTCTGAGTAGATGGGCACACATTTTCAAATAAGATGCTATTTTTTATTTCCTAAAAGTCTTCTAAGGTTTTGTGAAATAGAGTGGTATTCTGGGGGGTTGGTGCTTTGAATCATGCCAGTTACCTTTTACTTTTTACGGAAAGCAACTTTTTAAACATTTGTAAAGTCGAAAAAGGAAGAGAACCTTTATAGTTTAAGATGATGTGAGAACTCAGTCAAGCATGTGGTTTATTTAACCGATATTCTGGTTTAGGAGGTACTGACTCAGTCATAAGTTGATCTTTTTGAGATGTTTTGGTTTGAAGGTCACGGGGTTAATCTGTCCCCCAAATTTTGGCAACCTCTCTCCAGCTAGATTCCTGGATCTCTCTTGCAGGGCAAGAGGAAACCAATGCCACCATCTATTTTCTTTTAGCATTATTTATCCCTCAAACCATCTCCATTTTTGTTAAGAGTCTTAGCAGGATGTGAGCCATTGTGCTCCTTGAGCTCCAAATGATTAACCGGGTGACCAAGCCACAGCTAAGCTACTTTTTAAAAAAGCATGAAAGGAAAGACACTGGCAGATGCTGTGTTGTTCTAGTAGAGAGCAACCCTATTTTGCACTGGTGAAGTTTTGGAATTGCTGTTTATTTGATGAAACCCTGCCCCAGTTTAAGGAGGGAGGAAGAATGGAGAGACTCCTACGGTCTTTTGTAGTCCACTGACCTTCACCACTTAATTCTTCTTTCTAAATCTCTTTTTAAGGCTGTATGGACTGGGAGATTTCCTTACCAAGAAAAAAATGGGGAAGCTGGAAATCTAACAGGTGAAAATGGAGGCCTTTGTTCAAACTTTCCTATAAAAAAATGAGGGCTCAGTTGGAAAGAGAATGTATCTTCCAAGTAGAAAGATGCTTCCTATTGCTTTTTATAAAGGACCTTGGAGATCTTCTAGTCCAATCCTTGTCCACTTCCCACACAGCACACCCTGTTTTAAAGTACTATCACAACTCAGACTGTTGTGGAAGGACAGACAACCTGGGATGGAGTCAAGAGAGGAATCAGCCTGGAGTCCTTATGTACTCATAAAAGATCCAGGTCCAACCCTGCTTGAAATCTGTTAACTCTTACCTAGCACCGATTTTGTGTTGCTAGTTGACTAAACTCTTTGTGTATAGGCATAAGCAATAAAGGACCTTAATTGGAACTTAATGTGTGGTGTCCTGATTCTTCACGCCTGACAGACTGGTACCGTGGCCTACAAAATTTGCACCAGCTCATTCAATGGACGAAAGCATTTCAATTGTTCTCATCCAGTGTTTCTTGGAGGTTAAGAGCTCATCGTTCTTTGAATCCCTATTAGCTGCATGGATGAGTGAAATGGGGTTTTCCTTACACTCCTCAGATTTAGTCCTGCCTTTCCTTGATCCCTCCCATCAAGGATCTGGTAAAGGTAGTAATCTCCCCTTGGCTTCCAGGGAAATATACCCTGTTCCTTTGGTTTCCCTTCATATTTTCCATAGTTGGATCACTTTCCTTTAAACCTGTCCCACTTTGCCTGCACTCTTATGAAAAGGGGATCTTAGGATACCAACGCAGAATTGTCCAGATTAGTAGAATTAAAAAATGATCCCAATAACTATCCCAAAAGTGCTTTTTCAAAAAGCAACTGGACTTTATTTTTCCTTGAAGATGTTTAGTTTCTGATCCAAGAAGCTTCTTCAGTTCTGAAAGGAAAAACAAGTCCAGCTGCCTTTTGAAAAAGCACCTTTGGGACAACAGGACTTGGGGGACGGAGAATCTTCACAGATATCCCAATAACTATATCAAGATGCTTTTGGTACCGACTTTAGAACGATCTACCAACATCTTTCTACAATTTAGGACAGAGATTTCTTCCCTTCCTGTAGCTGCAGTTTCTTTTTTAAATGGAGAACAAAACGTTTGGGGGTCAGCCATCATTTCTTGCGGCCTCCATTAGACTGCAAAAAAATGTATGTTTTTAAGTTCTTTGTTACTCAAACTAAGCTTCTGGATAGGGAACAAGGTATCGTCATCTAACATAAAATCCCACCCCTGCTATTTCTGCAAAGAGTTTGCAAGATAATTGATCTGTATTCAACTGAAAAAGCTTATAAAATGAAAGGCAGGTTTATATATATATATATATGAAAAGAGAAAAGACTTTATTTTGCTCTTCGAAACAAAGCTGACTTTACCAGGTCAGGAAAGGTTGTAGAAGAACAGCTTTTCTCACAAATCCTTAACAAAAGAGGGACACAATAGAGAGAGATGTGTGGCGGTGTAGGTGGGATGGGAGAACTTTTAAGAGCTTGTGTTACCCAGGAGAGACGGCAGAAGAGGCATTCAAACAGCAAGAGAGGCTTGCAAAAACCATCTTCCCGTAATTGCACATCAAGCCCACTGACTGACAGTTCCCAACCGGCTTTGAACAGAGGCTGTCTGCATAAGCAGCAGATAATGGCAGCGATTAATGCTGCCGCAATCATTTGTTGGGCCCACAAAGGGAATGGCAGCTCGCCTCCCTGCAACGGGCAGGCGGGAGTGAGGCCGAAACTGTGCTGCTGCAGTCTTTATACGATTCGGAGGTGAGTGGGGAAACAGATCTGAAATACAGCCTTTTTAAACAAAAAACAAAAAATTAAGTGTCTGCCATAAGACTTAGAACAATAAGTTGAAGTCCACCTATCATAAAGTGGCCAAGGTTGAGAAATACTCAGTTAGAATGCAACCCATATCTCAATTATGAGAGATCCACAGGTTGCAGGAAAGGGTGTTGTATGCCCCAATTGGGCAGATAAGGCAATCAAACTATCCTGCCTCTTCCTTGCTTATCTCCCTAACATCTTCTGATGCCCGGTTAAGCAGCAGAGCAAGGGATCTTGGGGGCTTGCTCCTGGTGAAACCTGGCCAGCTAGCAACCCGACAAGGCACCCACCCCAAACTCCATTTCCTCTAACCAAGCTGGGCCAATGGATGATGTTTGCTCGGTGGCCAATTTTTGGGGAAGGCTACAACCTGGAGTAAAAGAGGAGGTGTGTAGGAAGGGAGAAAGAAAAGAGACAGTCCTTGCTGTCCAAGGCCACCTCATTCCCACACTAAGGGACGCCTACTCAACGAGCGGAGTTGCTTGGCAACCCTTTCAAACAGAAGGTTTTAAGGACCTCCTTAGAAAACTGAACAACAATAACATAACAAAACAATAACAATCCTGTGTACATTGTGCATTTTCGCCTCCCTGGCTACGCAAGGGGAGCATTTCTAAGTTTCAGGGTGACTCTATAGCCACTCCTCTGGTCCCGGGTTCCCACTATGTTGAAACAGGTTGAGGGTTGGTCTTCTCCTTTGTCAACCATGCCAAAGAGGCCCCTTGTGCCCTTCTTACCTTTCCTGGAAAAAGACAAGGAGCTGCCGGGCCGAGAAAGTGGTGCAGGTAAGAGGGAAACGGGAATCAAAGGATGACCAGGCAGGTGCAAGGGAACGGTGATGCCTAACTGGGGTTCAGGAAGGCTTGGAGGCCACAACAGGTGAGGGAGACTTCTTTGAAAGAGGAGACACTCCCAGTGCCCAAAGCACCCCTATTAAGCAGGAGGGCTGGGTCCCTCCCTGTGCCCCTGAGGGCCCTGGGACAGATAGTCCGTCACAAGAAAACAGCCCAAGGTAGGTTTCGCCGTGACCCTCCCCTCCCCTCCCCTCCCCCTAGGACCCCAGCGGTTCTAGTTAGAAGAGAAACAAGCCGTCCTGGATTCGTCCTGCTCTTTCTGCTTTCTCGGGCCATCTAAGCTAAGCTGCTCGCTCCTTCCTTCCTCCGCACCGTGCAGCAGGTCGCCATCTCCAAACAGGAATGCAAGCCATCCCTCTTGCTCTGTGCTGTCCTCCTCCTCTCTAAGCCCTGCCTCGCCTTCACCTGGGGAAAGGCAACAGGGGAGCCATCAGCAGGGAGGGAAAAGGAGACAAGAGGCAGAGCAGACTCAAGGCTCCTGCTTGAGACAGGGCTGCTGGGGGACACCCCGCTTGTTTGTATCCCACCTTTATTTTTTTTCACAAATAACGGACATATCCCACAAATGTTCCTCCTATTTTTCCCACAACAACACGGCGAGGTGGGTTGGGCTGATTGGTCCAAAGTCACCCCGCTGGCTTTCATGCCTAAGGTAGGGCTAGAACTCACCATGCCCTGGGGATTGGCCCACCCAGCCAGTTTTCAGGCCTAAGGCGGGACTAGAACTCAACATCAAACAGTGATTGGCCCGAAGTCACCCAGCCAGCTTTCGTATATATTATACAGGGTGAGATTAGAACTCACCATCTCCTGAGGATTGGCCCACCCAGCCAGTTTCAGGCCTAAGGCGGGACTAGAACTCACCATCTCCCAGTGATTGGCCTGAAATCACCCAGCGGTTTTCAGGCCTAAGGCGGAGCTAAAAGTTTCCTGTCTCCTGGTGATTGGCCCAAAGTCACCCAGCTGCTTTTTATCCCTAAGGCAAAAGTAGAACTCACAGTCTCTCACTTTGTAGCTGGTGCCTTAAACCAGGGGTCGCCAACCTTTTGGACCTCAGGGACCACCAAACTCATAATTTTAAATCCTGCGGACCAGAGACCCTGGGAAAATCCCCCAAAAAGTCTGCAGGTAAATTCCCCACCCCATTTTCCTACCGATCAATCATTCTTTATTTGGGATAGCAGGATACCATCTCCAGCTCTGTTCTCAGGGGGAGGGGGAGAGGGAGGGAGGGAGAGAGAGAGAGGGAGAGACTTTTGACCTCTTGCAAGGAAAGCAGCAGAAGCAGAAGTCTTTCTTTCTGTCCCCCAAACTCCGCCAGAAATGAGTCTTTGCCGGCACAGCCTCTTGGAGCAGGATGCCTTGCAGGGTCCCAAAGACTCCTTTCTGGCAGAGTTTGGGGGAGAGAAAGAAAGACTTTTGCTGCTTTCCTTGCATGCAGCCAAAAGCAGAAGAAGAAGAAAGAAGCAGAAACAGCCTGGTGGCCAGGCGAGGCACGTGGGGCAAGTTCCCCCCTCTGCCCTTTCCCCGCTCCCCTCACTACCTCGTGTTGTTCGCAATGCAAGCCTTGTGTTCCTGCGGGCCATGTGGGTGGTGCAGCCTTGTGTTCCCATGCAACCAGGATTAATTGCTTTGGGGGTGACATTTCTCTGCGGACCACCAAAATTTTCTCATGGACCACCAGTGGTCCCCGGCCCACTGGTTGGCGACCACTGCCTTAAACCACTAGGCCAAATTGGCACTCCTTTCTGGGTGTGTCCAGGTGTTCATATATTATCTGGGGGGGGGGGTCATCAGGGGCGGAAGGGGCCTGCATGGAAATCCAAGGGAAGGACGTGGTATTCAGGGCTTTGGTTTGGTAAAGGGGGAGTTGTTTTTAAAAGCAGCAGGTTTGTAGAGGTGGTGCCCACTCTTATTGTGAGCAACGCCAAACAATGCGTCAGGAGCAAGACGGTAACGGCGCATGCTTGCAGGTCAATGTTCTGCTTAGCCCTTCATCCGTCCCGTGGTAGTTAAAAGTGTGTTATGCCAAACAGTGGCAATGGCTGGCTGGGGAATTCTGGGAGTTGAAGTCCACGCAGTTGCCAAGGTTGGGAAACCCTGATAACAGGTGACTTCTTTCAGATCCAATATGGTATTATGTCACCCAAAAGGGAAATGCATAATTCTGCCCACTTAGTGAAGAGCTAAATTGTTATGAGTATTTTATGTTAAGGTACAGAACACTCATTAGGCACTATTAGACCATTTAAACCTCACAGCACAGGTGTCAAAATGCATTTTGAAATGCTCGAAGTTAAGTAAGATCTTCTCTTCCTATTTGCATTAAATACTAAACTATTAAAATTATTAAAGTGCTAATTTCATTTTTAGCGTTCTCCCCCTTCCTTTGCAAGCATTTTCTTCCCAATTCCCCCCTCCCCCCACCCCCGGGGTCACTTCTCTGCCCTCCCTTCTCCCTCTCAAATAAGAGCTTGGCTGCCATTGGCAATTGTGCCCAAAAGCAGGAACAATTTACAGTGGGACGGAAATGTAACCTTAATGGAGAATCGAAAATCTTCTAAATGCAGTGCGAACCCAGCTATTTTAAGTGCTGGCCTCAAAAATAAACTTCAGAAGGGGTGGAGGAAGAAAGAGCTTCCAAAATCCGTGGGGGAAATAACAAAGAAATAAAGCAACAGAGGAACCCTTTGCAGCCTCTCTAACTTCGCGTCCTCCAAATGGGCGGATATGGCAAATTGGAGAATTCTCCTGCCTCGTGGAGACCTGGACCTGTACGCCAGACACCTCTGAATGAAACCAGATAGAAGCCTCATCCAAATCCAACCTGCCCCAGTCATCGCCCTCCAAGACAGAACCCAGCAATAATGAGGTCCGTCGCCCAAAGCTAAAGTCCCTTCAACCAAGGGAGGACGGCGTCTCCTCCGTTTGCGCTTCCAGTCTGGTTTTCCTAACGCTCAACCGAATCTATCTTCCTGTTGACTTAAGCGTACCGGATAGTCCCTCCTTCTGCGGAGAAAGACTTCTGCATTAACAGACCCCGAGTTCAAGGCCAAAAAGCACCATCAATATTCAGACTGGATTGCTGAAGCGTTCAACACCAAGGTCTCGAGCAACGAAGGAGCCGGTTAAAATACAGATCCGGAACCATTTTCGGTTCTTTCAAAATTCCCAAGCAACGCACCCCTCAGCATCTATGCCAAGGGGGCAGGGGTATAAAGGAACCCAGTCTTACCCCCGTGCAATTTTTTTTTTTGGGGGGTGGGTGGGTTGGGTTGGGTTCTTTTTCTTGCCATCCTATTGAAAGAGGGAAAGGTCAAACAGTCCGATCCACAAGTGGTTTCCTTATGGCCACCCCAGCTCCTAAATGGCCCTCTGGGTTCCCCAAACGTCAAGATAACTATCTCTGCCGCTGTAAGCAACCCCTCCTGGCTGATTGGAGAGAAAGCTACAGATAGTCCTCGACTTACAACAGTTCGTATAGTGATGGTTCAAAAAGGACAATGGCATTGAGAAATGGGACTTGTGACCGTTTTTCACAGTTACGACCTTTGCGGCCTCCCCATGATCACGGGATCAAAATTCAGATCACTTGGCAACTGGTTCATACTGTTAGGTATAACATTGATACCAAATATGGTATCACAAATTGGAGTAAAAACAAGGAGCAAGCATACAGATCTAAGATACCTAAACGTGAGACAATCTGTAAGAAGTAAGATGATTCAGCTAGAGTACTGTATGTCGGAGGACAATTTAGCTGATAATTTTACTAAAGCCCAAGGTGCCAGTAAGCACCAGGAGAGTTGTGAAAAATATGGGATAAGATTGTAAAGGTATTATATATTTATTTCACCCAAAAGGGGAGTATGTTAGGTATAACATTGATACCAAATATGGTTTGGGTGAATAAATATATAAAACTTAGATATCATGGTTTAAGTGCTTATCACTTTAAGCACAATGCAGCAAGCAATTAGCCGATTAAGGGTGCGGTTAGAAGTTACAATATAAGGAAGCATTAGAAGCTGGAAAGCTGTCTCTGTCTGTTACTGCTTGCTGGCTGTAACTGGCTGTAACTGTGTGCTACTGTAACTGTGTGCTGCTGCGACTAACTGTGATTACTGACTGTGAGTGCCTGAGACTGAACTGTTATTGTTTGCTACTGTTTGCTGAATATCCAGCGTTTGTTTCTCTGGAGAGTGAAACCGGAGGAGGAGAAGATATCTTTATCGGCTGATAAAGATATTGCAAGGACTCTTAACTTGGACTATACTAGTGAGTCTTACTGGATGGAAATACTGTGAATGACTTAATGGACTGAATGACAATGCTTAAACTCTAACTGGATTAAAAACTATTTAAACTACAAACAGTGTTTGTATTCAGTGTGTGTATACTCTGGGGCCCTTCCGCTCTTCTTTGGTTGCCTGGCTTGACTACTGCTGCAATACTCTTCTAGGGGTTAATTCCTCAAACCCTAACACATACTTATGACCGTTGCTGTGTCCCAAGGCCTCTTTTGTGACCTGATAAGCAAAGTCAATAGGGAAAGCAGAGTCACTTAACAACTGAGTTACTAGCTAATCAACGGCAGGGATTCACCTAACGACTGTGGCAAGCAAAGTCATAAAATGGAGCAAAGCTCATTTAACAATGTCTCACTTAACCACAGAAATTTCGTGCTCAATTGTGGCCGTAAGTCGAGGACTACCTGTATTAAGGACTGCTTGACTTATGACAACTGGGACCAGAATGTCCACTGCTAAGCAAAGCGGTTAAGTAAGCCAGAGACCCTCTTACAACCTCTTTTTGCTACAGTCCTTAAGCGAGTCATTCTGCTTCTTAAGTGACTTATGTGGCTATTAGCTGAATCCGGCTTCCCCCATTGCCTTTGCTTGTCGGAAGCCAGCAGGGAAGGTCACGGCTGGCCGTCAAATGACCCAGGGTGTTATGTGCAACCGTTGGAAATACATGCCGATGGCTAAGCAACCGGACTTCAGTCAGGTGACCCTGGAGATTCTATGACAGTCCTAATTGTGAGGACTGTTCGTCAGTCACTGTTTTTAGAGGCCCTGTAACTTCGGATGGTCGTTAAATGAATGGTTATAAGTCAAGGACTACCTATACTTAAGATGGAGACAGATCTACAGTCTCCTTTTTAAAATGGACCCTGAGCAAGCTGCTACAGCTGCACACAAAGCCTCAGGATGGTTTGGGGGAAATGCCAAGAAGAACCCATCAGCCCGCAAAGCTAGAGAAGTCACCAAAGCTCGCTCTGCTCCTTTTAGGCTCCTCGGGGCCACCGTCCCTTCTCGCTTCCAGCCCCAGCCGCCTTCCTTACCTGGCATGGTGAAGTCCTGAGTGTAAATGATCTCGTCCTCCAGGTAGTCGTCTTTTAAGTCATCCTCCTCCTCCTCGTTGTAACCATGGAGGTCTTCCAAGTAAGGCACCACCGTCATGCTCCTCCACCGATCCTTCGTCTCCGGGCTGGGCGGGATGGCGATGGGTGGCTCACACTGAGGGTGCTTTTTCCGAAACCAGCTAAAGGAAACCAAGGTTTTAGTGCTTTGGGACCGAGGATGTTTCACTGGTTTCCTGCAGGCTGGTGTGTTTCTTAACCTTTGGCCACTTTACGGTGTGTGGACTTCAAATCTCAGAATTCCCCAGCCGACTCACTTGTGCAAACAGTTCAACAGCCCCTTATTTTCTCACAATGGCCTCACTGGATTTGCGTGAAAATCTGCCCAAGCTCTTTTTTGGGGGGGTGAATGGAAAAAAGAAAGTCACTTTTCCCCATTTATTCTCAGAGACTGTTTAGTAAGGCTCCACTGAGAAGTTGAGGTCCACACACACACACACAC